ACACACACACACACACACACTCATTTAATGTTGTCATTTCATTTTTAACGTCTCCTCCACATCGAAAGGAGCCAGTTGAGGTGGCTCGGGCATCTTTTCCGGATGCCTCCTGGACGCCTCCCTGGGGAGGTCCCACCAGGAGGAGGCCTCAGGGAAGACCCAGGACACGCTGGAGAGATTATGTCTCTCGACTGGCCTAGGCCTGGGGGTCCCCCTAGAAGAGCTGGAGGAGGTGTGTGCGGATTCTGGAAGTCTGGGCGGCTTTGCTAAGGCTGCTGCCTCCACGACCCGACTCCGGATAAGCGGAAGAAGATGGATGGATGGATGGATGGATGGATGGATGGATGGATGGATGGATGGACGTCTTCTGTTGTTAAATATGAAACAACATGGACATAAAAACTGTTTTTCAACTGTGGAGGCTAAAATATTTCCTCTTCTCCCCTCAGGGACATTCAGCACTGTGTCCTGGTGAATGTTGGTGTTTCTTGGGCGACCGTGGACATCTATTCATCTCCCTGTCCCATCCTGTTGCCATCACTCATGTGACACATAAGGTCACATAAGTAAAGGACAGTCCCCTAACGGAAGCATTGGAAGTGCACCAAGGGAGTTTTCTGTCTATGTAAGTCACACGTAAGTCAAGTAAGTACAAACATCTGTTATTATGATTTCCACAGTTCACAATGACTTGTTCGACTCATCCCCTTTGTCTTTTCATTTTCAGGCAGTGAACACCGAGAGTGATGAAGGCACCTTTTTAGGAACGCTGACATATGATCAGGACGGCGCAGCGTTCCAGACCCTAAAACTGAACGTACGTATGATCAAAGTGACACTTTTTTTATTAACGTGTATTGTTTGATTGTTTAATTTTTCCACATTCTAAAGTTTTGTGACAAAAATCAATGCAAAATATCCGCACTGGACAAGAAAAGTCTAAAAAACTGCAAACTGTCTTCAAAATAGATGCAAAACATACACAGAGTCCAGGTGCATCAGAATGATATATTACAGTTCCCGTCCTCCCATCTCTTCTCATGATTAATATTTCTCTCTCCAGAATCCCGACGACAGCATTTTCAACTACATGAGGCTGCAGGTTGAAAACAACTGGGGAAATGCTCATCACACCTGCATCTACAGTTTTAGGGTACACGGCAAAATCCTCGCCAGTCACCGCTTTTAGAAAACATTCATCTGTAAGGAGACCAAGGTAAGTATAACCAGGACCTCACCGGCCAAGGCAGACGGCCGTACACTCTGAGCCTGTTACTGTTGGAGGTTTTCTCCCTGTTAAAAGGTTTTCCCCTCCCCACTGCCATCAAACGCTGCTCAGAGATTTATAGTTTTATAACTGTCTAAAATTTAAACATGCAGCCTTAAGCTACCTACATTCAGCTAAAAAAAGAAGAAAGAAAGAAAAAGAATATCATATCATTGCATATTACATTAGATCCTAGACAATTGATATTTAAATATCTTTTCTATTATAACTATAACCATCAAATTCATTTGTATGTATTTACTTGTTTGTATTTTATATGTAAAGAATGGTCAGCGTTCATGGTGTCAGATTTGAGCAGGTGTTTGCTCTGTAACTTCACGTCACATTTTCAGTTCCTAAATGGACTCCAAGTAAAGATCAGAATCAGGAAAAAAACTTTATTTATCCCAGAGGGGCAATTAGGTGGGCAGAGAGTGACCCATTAAAAATGAGAAAGAGAAAGAAAACAACACACAAAACAACACACAAAAAAGTGGGTGGGTGAAAGCAGCAGATGATGTGCAGTAGCAGGCCTGCTGCCAGTAACAGAATGAGTGTTTATGCGGAGCTATTAAGGCAGTACTGTCCATACAGGAGTCCGAAATGTAAGCAGCAAATTATGTACAGCAATAAGTTAAAGAAAAACAGAAATAATAATGATTACAAATTAAATGTAA